TTAGTCACGTGGGCTGATGTCGTTCAAACATGGAGCGGTGGGCGGGGCTATCATTTCACAGCCTGTGATTGGCCCTCCTTCCACTCGTGATACTTCAAGTTGTCCAATCACATATGAGTTTATGGGTTTAGTCTGTGAAAGCACGCAATCAGAAGCGTCCATATCTCTTTGCCAATTAGCATAGATTAGTGAATAAGTGCCTCTGTCTCGCTCAGTCTAATAATTGTTTCGTGAGATTTGATCACGCAGCAGCATCATGCCTGAACCAGCGAAGTCTGCGCCCAAGAAGGGCTCCAAGAAGGCCGTCACTAAGACCGCAGCGAAGGGAGGAAAGAAGCGCAGAAAGTCCAGGAAGGAGAGCTACGCTGTCTACGTGTACAAAGTGCTGAAGCAGGTTCATCCTGACACCGGGATCTCCTCCAAGGCGATGGGCATCATGAACTCTTTCGTTAACGACATCTTCGAGCGCATCGCCGGTGAGTCGTCTCGTCTCGCTCACTACAACAAGCGCTCCACCATCACCTCGAGAGAGATCCAGACCGCCGTGCGTCTGCTGCTGCCCGGAGAGCTGGCCAAACACGCCGTGTCTGAGGGCACCAAGGCCGTCACCAAGTACACCAGCTCCAAGTAGAGCTTCATCTGATCCACGAACCCAAAGGCTCTTTTAAGAGCCACCCATATTGTCTTTAAAAGAGCTCCACTGGTAGTTGTGAGGCTCATTGGGTGAAGAGATGACTTCAATAGCTTATTGACGTTAAAATTAGTTTTTAGAGTCTAACGGCAAAGTGAGTTTTCTACAGTATTTGAACATGTTTCACGTTTTGTTGATTTCTTCTGCTAAACCACTCTTAAGTAGGACTTTTTTTAAGTAGGATTTTTTTTATATAATAGATTGAAAGATCCTAATCTCACCATGATAACTGCAGGATGGGTCGTAGAACGTATCCTCATAATGAGGCTTTATTTGTAAAAAAAATAAATAAAAAAAAGATGATACTAAGGCTTAAATTGTGGTTGTCTGCTTTGCCTGTGGAATTAAGTCATAGCCCACAGCTCAGCAGGGACATGCGTTTGTCGCATGAATTAAGACATTAAGTGTCTAAAATAAATGTACACAGTTCAGCTGAATGATGAAGTTTACTATAACTCTATGCTTTGCACAACATTAACAAACTACGCAAACAAAATAACCAGAACATTAACAATAACTGATGGAGCTCATGGTTTATCTGTCAGTCAGATGCGCTCTCGGCCACTGATCTATGCTCGTGACATTTTCTTTTATAATTATCATTGGTTGATAATGTTTTTTAAAAAAAAATAGTATTTTAGATGGTAATAAGATCAAGACCCTCGACGGCATGATCTATTGTCGGGCAGCGCCAAAAATTGGGGAAAAGCCAGTTCCACCATAAAATAACCTCTGAATCGTTTTTTTTTTTTTAAACTGGTTCATTAAAACTATCCAAATCAGGAAACCAATCAGACTTCTAATCACTTTTAGCGAGCATGAGGGGGGGTGAAAAATAGATAGAAATAAAATGAATGGCTGTAAGACACATTTTATTTTAAAATATAAACGTACATTTTGAAATATTGTCTCATTTTGTGTTATTTCATAGCAATGGATTTTATGCACTGAGAAACAATCTGAAAAATACCAAGTGGTGTTGTAAATAAACACATTAGCTATGTGTGTTTCTTTGTAAGGATACTCATGGGAACGAGGAGGAACTGGAACAGCTGGCACTGAAGATCATCACAAAAGGTTGCTCAACAGATGATCCATTACAGACTGGGATAGTGCTGGAAGGCGTAGAGGTGATGGCGGGATTGGCAGGTGTTGCGGAGGCTTGTGTTTTTCTGCTTGGCCTAATTTATGCAATTAATCTGAGTTTCCCCAAAGAGCTCAGGTACTCATTTGAATTTTATCAGAAGATTCTACTGGAACTAGACGGTGGCAAACTTTCTCCAAAGGTTTACTCTCTGAAGAACAGGCTTCTTTGTTAAAATGAAAGATATCGATTGTGTTGTTCTGACCATTACGCCTTGAAATATGTTTGTCACAAGACACGTTTAGCCATACACACCTGGTTCTAGCACAATGTTAGTCTGCAAACGTTTGATCGCAGTCTTGTTTTATTCTTAGGATGTTTGTTGCGTGTTCCAAAAGTAAATGTTAGAAAAATGTGAATATATTAAAGGGGTCATATGATGCGATTTCAATTTCTCCTTTCTCTTTGGAGTGTTACAAGCTCTTGGTGCATAAAGACGATTTGTAAAGTTGCAAAGACTAAAGTCTCAAATCCAAAGATATGTTCTTTATCAAAGTTAAGAGTTAACCACGCAAACCTAAAACGGCTCGTTCTAACACACCCCCACATGTCTACGTCACTATGTGGGAAGATTTGCATTACGCCGCCCGAATGTTCACGCAAAGAAAGAAGGCGTAACTATTATTCTCGCTGTAGTATTGTTGCCGCTGCCACCATGCCGTGGAGACACTGTGTGCTTCTTTGTGAAAGCGAAACCACTTTGTTTGGTCTTCCAAAAGAGGACGATATCCGCTTCGTCATGCCTGGAGCTGATCCGTGCTGGTCGCTGAGGAAATACATCAACTGCGCTGTTGATCGCCGAATCGGCTTTCACCGTGGACGAAGCGGAGTCCAGCCCGGGGTCGTCAAATGTGGTTGCCGCTCCTTCGGCCTCAGTGCACGCTAAACCAAGGCTTCCCCTCACGCTAGGCTGTAGTGTTTTTCGTTGTGAAAGCGAAACTACTTTGTTTGGTCTTCCAAAAGAGAACACGACTAGAAATCAGTGGTTAAGTTGGATTTACAACACTGTTCCAGAACAGTTCAACCCAAATATTCAGATGTGTGCAGCACATTTTATGGAGGACTGTTTACTGATCCTGCACTCTCAAAAAGGGTGTGTTAACGTGATCACAATTTAATAAAAACATTGTACGTTAGGCCTGTTAATTGTAATGATTTCATTTCCACGGTTATTCAAACAACGAATAAATTATATAGAGTAGCTAAGCGAGCAAAGAACACAACGAAGCTTGTATTTTGCTGAAAACCACTCTTTTATCAAGCCAACAGAAATCTTCCTTGGAAACAGAGGTGACACTGCAAGAAAGCAAGGTACATTAACTCAAGTGTTAATAGCAGATACATGTCAATACATATCTATTATTGATACTCTGAAGTTTCTTTTTGACAATGAACAAATGCAAAAGCTCTTTGTGGATTCAACCGAAAGTGATGATAAATTGCATGACTACTGTGATGGCTCACATTTTAAAAATCACAAATTGTACAGTACATTTCCTCAAGCTTTACAAATTCAACTTTATTTTGATGATTTTGAAACAACAAATCCTTTAGGCTCTAAAACCAAAGTTCACAAAATGGGAGCAGTTTATTTTTGTTTGAGGAATTTACCTGCTAGATTTAACTCGTCTCTTGAAAACATCCACCTATGTTTGCTTTTTAATTCAATTGACAAAGAAGTTTATGGTTTCAACAAAATATTTGAGCCATTGTTGGATGATATTAAATTTCTTGAAACCAGAGGGATAGAAGTTCAGATAAATGGCCAAAGTACAGTGTTATTTGGCACAATATGCTTATTTACTGCTGATAATCTGGCCTGCCATTCACTTGGAGGATATTTGGAGAGTTTCGCAGCCAACAAATCCTGTCATTTCTGTCTGATTGACAAACATGAGATGCAGGGTATATTTGACGACAATCGTTTGGAGTTGCGCAATGAAGTTAATTACAATGAACATGTCATGCTTAAAAATCCTAGTTTAACAGGCATAAAAGCAGACTCTTGCCTAAACTCTCTAGAGTACTTTCATATTACCGATAATGTCTGCGTTGACATTATGCATGACATTTTAGAGGGTGTGGCTCCACTCGAGATCAAACTAATGTTACAACATTTCATCTATGAACAAAAACTTTTCACTTTAGACCAGTTGAATGACCGAATGATTAGCTTTGACTATGGTGTGGCAAACGAGAAAAACAAGCCTAGTTCCATTCATAATTTAAGAACATCAGAGAACCCCATAAAGCAAAATGCCAGTCAAATGTGGTGTCTCATCCTTTTTTTGCCTTTCCTGATTGGAAATTTTATAAGTGAAGGTGATAGTCACTGGAAATTGTTCCTTCTGCTTAGAGAAATTTGTAGTATAATTTTTGCACCAGTTGTTACCAAAGGATTAGCTGTATTTTTAAAGCAGCTAGTTATTGATCACCATAACTTGTTTAAGACT